GGGAACCCCGACCATTTTGAACTAGGCATTTCAAAATGGTCGGGGTTCCCAACCCCAACCAATTTAAATAGGTGACCCCGACTAATTAGATGTTGAATTTGTCTGCAGCGTCCAAAAAAGTCGGGGTTGACAAACCCGACTAATTAGGATCGCGTTTAAAAAAATAACATACTTTATGGCCACGATGTTGACGTGACGAAAAAATGGGTCGATTTTTGTAATAAAGTTTGAATATGGTCGAATTTGGGGAATAAATTTTGAAATGGGTTTAATTTGAAAGTTTCCTCTTTTAAGTTATAATAATGGACGGCAGGCAGGGGTGTTAACGGAGCGGATACGGCTTGGATATGGCACTTACCATATCCATATCCGCTTACCCATCTCGGATACGGATACGGATACGGATATACGTCGGTAAGAAAAATTCATATCCATATCCACCAAAATCGGATACGGTTACAGATATAGATGCAGATATATAAACGGATATGCATGCAGATACAAAAAGGATATGAGAAAACTAGATAGTATTCAGAAAAATATAGTCATGTGATACAAAAAGAGTTCGTTAATATGTTCATTATGAGTGAAAAGCTAAGATTAGACATCTTGATCATCAAAATTAACCACAAATCCATAATCTAAGAATCAAAACTATCGTAAGAGTATTACCAATATGTATTCAGATTTTTTCGGATATGGATACAGATATTTTACTACAAAACCATGTCCGCGACCATATCCTATCGGTAATAGATTTGAGTAACCATATTCGTATCCTAGCGGATACGGTTACAGATATTTCCTCGAATACGGATACGGTTTGGCACCTCTAACGGCAGGTGGATCTAGTCGGATCCGAACCCGACCCGACAAAAAACCCCTCGAAAAAGCCCCAACAACCCACTGACCGTCTTCTCCTCTCTCGAGAACTGACAGTAATCTCTCTCAAAGCTCATCGCCCATGGCGAGTCTCCTCTAAAGAATCAATCAGAACTCACAAAATGCCTTCCAAGGATCGAATATCCTACTTCTACGACGGTAATTCTCTTCTCATCTCTTCAGATTCCCCTAATCAGTTAACTCTCCGTCTACACTTTAGAGATAGACCCTAGAGGGGATTATAATTATTTCTAGGGTTTATTTATTTCTAATCTGTTATTATAATATAATACTTTATCTAATTACTCTTAGTCATTGTTTTGTTAATCTTTGTTACGAGCTAGGTTGACCTAAAACTCAAATAATTACTTTAGTGGAAACACTGGAGATTGCTCAAAATTATACTATTTTGGCTTAGTCTCTTGGGAAAATTTCAAAAAGCCACCCCCTCCCCCGCGGCCGAACTTTGGGTTGTGTACAAAACTACCATGAACTTCAGAAAATTAGAGAGAACACACAAAACTTTTGGGAGTTTCACGAAACTCTTTTGAACTTTCGAAAATTCATCGGGGCACGGCATGAGGTTTATCATGGACGAAAGTATCGGGCATAATGGCAAAAATTATTAGGGAAACAGTTAAGGTTATTTTATAAAAAAATGGTACGTCATGTGAACATTCCAAAAGTTGAAGTTAAGAGGGTTCCCCTCTAATTTTAAAAGTTCATGGTTTTGTGGAAATCACCCCTATCATTAGTCCCTTTGTTACCTATTGTTTCTTTAGTAGTGATGGCACCAACACTGATGTTTTTTTTTTGCAGGAGATGTGGGTAATGTTTACTTTGGACCAAATCATCCCATGAAGCCTCATCGTCTGTGTATGACTCATCATCTTGTGCTTTCATACGAACTTCACAAGAAGATGGAGATATATGTTAGTTTTAGGATATATTTATATTTTAAGATGTTCCTTTTTCATACTAAAATATATTTCTTCTCTAAAGGTCTTACCTTATATATGCAGCGGCCTCACAAGGCATATCCAGTGGAGCTAGCTCAGTTTCATTCTGCAGATTATGTAGAATTCTTGCATCGGATCACTCCCAACACACAACATCTATTTGCAAATGAGTTAGCTAGATGTACTGACGAAAAACGGATAGATTTCTTTACTCTATTTGTCCTTTTTTTTCCTTCTCTCCCTTTGTTTATCTTATGTTGCCAAGTACATCCTAGGCTCTTATGTGGTTTTGTTAATCATTATCGTATTGTTTTGTGGTGACTATATGCATGTTAAATTTAATTTGGCTTTTGTGATTCTACTGTATGTCACTGCATAAGGAATCAAACATGGCAATACAACTTGTTGCGAAATTAGAGCAATTGTGATGCTCATATCTGTTCATTTAGGAGGAAGTCGTTGGTATCTGCCAAGCAAAAATCAACAGCAGTTGAGGTGCTGCTTTTCTTTTTTGTTTGAAAGAGCACGTTTATTATTTAGACATCTCCTTTAGTTTAATTAAAAACTTCTTCATGTTCTTTTCCTCTCCCCTTGAAAAGGTTGCCAACTTCGAAACCAGAATAATCTTCGATGCTAGTTGCTCATGATCTATCATTACTTATGAACCTCATGCTAAAGAAAGCTATAAACTAAGTTACCCCAACAATTTGTCTGGGCTTCCATTCCCGTGTCTGATAAGAGTCCAACTCCGGCACTCTTTGGGCACCCTGACTATGCATACATTCATTCAGATGTGTACTCCATTATATAATACATGTTTTGATTTAACCTTATCATACACTTCTTGGACGTATATTTTACACTTCGCTTCAACTTCTTGGAACTCCTTGGACACGGGGCAGGTATGTTTTAACCCATACCCATTTCAGAAGTAATATTTTAAGTGATTTGTTAAGTATCTAGTTAAAAAATGAGTGGTTTTTCAATTTATAATCTATTTGATAAATGGAACATAAAAATGTTATAGAATTTTAGTTTTCGTAACATGTGAATGAAATAACAAAATTGGTGGCATGTAAATTTTTAATTTCAACGTGTATATTTCTAGCTCCCCTTGTCCTAACTTTCACAAATTTACTGTCTCATATCCATACCAGAACCCGCACGCACTCCCCTGTAACATGGGCTTTAAATATCATCAGATGAAAACTGTGATTTAACTGAGCTTTATTGATCATAAATAAGTCAAGCATGAAAATAACCTTAGTTTAGCTTATTCAAGAAATGACTTGAGCTTGCTTGATCGTAAATAAGTCATACGTGATGAAGACTTAGCTTAACTTATTCCAGAAACGAACTTAAGTTAATCTTGACTTAAGCTAAATTATTGATCTTGTACACTAGCCCATAGTGAATTGGGATTAACTTGTTCAAATTGAGAACCCTGGTATCAGGCACGTATCACATACATGCTATAATTGCTATTCACTTGATGATGAATCCTTGTTATCTCATAACTTTTCAAAGCATGTAGCTACCTTGGGTTCAATGCTCATAAATTCAGAAATCAAAACTGATGTAGGTTAAAAAAATTTCACATGTTCGTCTCCTTCAATTAATTGTCTAGAAATTATGTTAAAATATACTCATTTTTAACTCTTACATGGATGATTTAAGAGTTAAAAATGAGTATATTTTAACATAATTCGTAGTTTGATTTTTCTTAATTGTTTAATTTTCTCACTTTCACTAGTCACTTCTGAAGGATATTGTTGATAAAAAATTATCAGATAATCTCGGAGAAGATTGCCCTGTGTTCGACAATATGTTCGAGTTTTGTCAAATATATGCTGGGGGCACAATAGGTAACTGATTTTCTCTTTAGTAATCAGTTGGTGCATTGATTATTCTTACTGTTTTTCTGTTTTTGTAGATGCTGCACGTAGATTGAACAATCAACTCAGCGACATTGCTATAAATTGGTCTGGTGGTTTGCATCATGCAAAAAAAAGTGAAGCATCAGGGTTTTGCTATATCAACGACTTAGTCTTGGGAATACTAGAGCTTCTCAAGTATCATGCTCGAGTGTTATATATAGATATAGATATTCATCACGGTGACGGAGTTGAAGAAGCGTTCTACTTCACTGACAGGTAACTCGTTACCTTTTAAACAATTTTCCATTTGGTTGTCTTCAGTGCCTACGTTGTGATAATTAAGCTATAATATCTATGCTCGTGATACATTATGAGACCACCTTACAGATTTTGACAACCTTTGTTGCACAGGGTGATGACTGTTAGTTTTCACAAGTATGGAGATATGTTCTTTCCTGGTACTGGTGATGTTAAGGTATCTAGTATTGTGGCTATTTTTTTAATAAGCATTATATGTTTTAGTGGTTCTCATGCATAGTTTGTGTTCATCAATTTGCCTTTTATCATCTACATGTTTGATTGATGTAAGCCAAAAAAAAGTTTATCATACTCATACACTAGGTTATTTGAACACGTTGTTTGGGTGCTGTATCCGTGTCAGACACGAATTCACCACGAACATATCATGGACACTTGTGGTTCAAAGCAAAACCCGATTTCTAAACTAGTTTTGTTTGTTTATCGAGCTCAAAACCAATAGCTTTTTGAACCCAAAAACCAAAATCCATTACTTGAAGATTTGAAAAGTAGCCCTCTTATTCCATGCGATCAGAACTAAATATTTGTTGTTAAACCTTAATTCTTAGTTTGATTTGACGTGATTCTTAACTTTTTTTGATGGAAAAAGATTCTTAATTGTTATAGATAGTAAAAAAAGGTTTATCGCCCGTGTAATTTTTCTTGGATTCAACATAGAATCTTGTAGTGTATGCTTGGATCTTAAAAGCTATAACCAAGATTTTAAATATCGTATGTCGGGAAAATATCGGATAGCCAAAATTCAAATCGGATTGCGGATATCAGAGAAATATCGGGGATATGTGGCAAATATCGGAACGCATAACAAATATTTGCATATATAGTATAATGCACTAAAATGCAATCTCAACATACTTAATGAAAATCTAAGCATGCAAAATGTGAATAATATTTGTTTAGGCTCACTAATCGACCTTGTGAAACAAATAAAAGTACAAATCAATGTTGCAACATTTCGTCTGATTTTTTAGGGTAAAATGTCATTTGATATAATGGAAAAATCATGACATCTCGCCCAAAAATTGCCAAACGCGGTATATTGTCTTGTGACAAGCCATATAAAAGGATATATCAGCCATATCGGAAATATATTGCCCAAAATAGCCAAAAAGTGGTAAGGGATATTTAGAGACCATATCAATTGCGACAATCCCTACAAAAGGATATATCGGGCCATGTTAGGGATATTTAAAACAATAGCTATAACCCGTTTGTGTAGCTTTGGAGGTGCAATTTAGATTGCTCTTTCTAATTGCTTGGGTTCTTATCAGCGTGCCTGATTGAGTCTCACATTTCGTGTTTTCCACAAAGCCAAATTACCGTTGAACACAATATAATGACATTATGATAGCTTAGCGATTACATAATTTGTAGTCTATTATTCTTTTATTTATTTATTTCTGCATAACATGCATTTGTTTGACTATGTACCTCTTAAAATCCCTGCCACTTCACTGAAACTCTAGAGTTGTGGTGATGGCTAATAGTTATTATTTTTATATTCTAACATGTCTTGCTGGTTGAGCCCCTTATTATGGGCCAAAATCTGGACTCACGGAGCTATATCAATTTTTTTATAAATCCACTTTTAAATTCGTGACCAGTAGAATTTAAACCCAGATTACTCTAATACCAACTTAAAGTCCGTGCCACTATACCACATCTCCGAAGTTGTGAGAATTAAGGATTATTATTTTATATTCTAACAGTACCACCTGCGGTTGTAGAATATCAATCTAACAGCTTAGAAACATAAGTACAACCTTTGGAACCATAGGAGTTTATATGTTATTGGGTTTAATTCTTTTTACATATTTGCATAGTTGATCTTTAATACTACTTTTTCTAGTCAATTTTATTTTCCTATATTTTGAACATTTTTGTTAGTTTTTATCTGAAAACATCAAAATTAGAGGGATGCGAGAATGTGCTTTTGAACCACCGCTGTAAGTAGTGATTTTAGGGGAAATCTGTCCAAGAGATAAGAAATTTGACATTTCATTTTATTGAGGTTATAGTGGTATTTAAATACAATTACTACATGCACATGCATTTCAATGGGTCCCTGCAGTTATTAATGCATGGCTACATCATTATTTCATTCAACCTCAGCGGTTATCATTTGAAGAAGCATTGCCCTTGAGTTGTTTCAATTTCTTATAGACGAAAGGATGTTAGATAGTTATTGAATTATGATCATAATCTCTGTCATGGGAAATGGAAATATTTTTACTTCCCTATTCTATTGGACTAATCTTTTTAGTTCATATTTTCTTATCTTGTTAATTTCACTATGTGATTTTTTATATTGTTTTTAAACGTGGAAAATGGTTTGTTAGTGATGAGACTTTATCCTTTGCCTATCTTGTGGATCAAATTTCCTGCATCTTCATGGTGATGAGATTACTAAGCCGGCTCTTTCTTAAAGAACATAGGTGAAAGAGAAGGGAAGTATTATGCTATCAATGTCCCACTCAAGGATGGGATAGATGACAACAATTTCACTCGTCTTTTCAAAACTGTACGTCATAACTTACCATGATCTAGTTCTTAATCTACACCCATTGCAGCAACCTTTTTCACTGTGTTGATGGTAGAATTTTCCTCACAGATTTTTAATACTGTAGATTATTGCCAAGGTTGTAGAAACATATCTACCAGGAGCAATTGTGCTTCAATGTGGGGCTGATTCACTAGCTGGAGATCGCTTGGGATGCTTCAGCCTCTCCATTGAAGGTATTTAAGTGGATGCAATATATGTTACCTGACGTGTTTTTTTTCAAGTGAATTTGACATCTTATATTTTGTTCTCCAAGATGTGTATCCAGCAGCATATACTCATTTATTAGAAATGAAGTAAAGTTAAAATTAGCTTAATGCATATTAGTTGTTAAAGAATTTTAAGATAGTTCCTTGCGGGAAGGCTTTCTATTCCAACATTTCAGTTTACATTAGGATGTGGTGAGTAGTTTAATAGATCAAAGCATGTTGATCTTCTCAATTTAACTTCCATTTATGTTGAGAAATCTCTCCCATAATCTATAAGTGGCTGTTTTTTTCTAATGACAAAGATGGATCGTTAATTCCCTGTCTGGACATCGCTTAGTTCCTTTTCATCAGGTATAAGCAGCTGAAGCATCCTAGCTGCAGATCACATAGGATATGCTTCAGCCCCATATGTGGTGTTCAAGTATTCAATGTTTTAAATACCGGCCGATAAACCGATATTATCGGCAATTTATCGATTTTGGGGGGCCTTCCGCTATGATAAGTTCGATTCTAAATCGGTTATTATTTTTGGATGTTTATCGCCAATAATGCAGCTCTAAAGTGAGTTATCGGCTGATATTGTCGGCCCAAAAATTGAAATTATTGGCCTTTGGTTTGAGTTTGATTTTGGGCAACGAGCACCTATTCAATGCATTTTAAATCCGACCCGACATGAGTTTCTATCATTAATTAGTGATCCTAAAGATAATTATTTATATTTTGGTATGTTTACATTTCATTAAGTATGGTTAGATTACATTTTAGAATATTATATTATGTATATCAGTATATCACCATCCGGTAATGTCACTCCGATTAGTACTACTTATCCCCGATATATCCTCGATATCCGCTATCTGATATGGATTTTGACCATCCGATGAATCCCTGATAACTGATATTTAAAACCTTGCAAGTATTTCACCATTTGATATATTTTTATATTTCTTTATACTCATTCAAATTAGATTAAAATATGAGCAGTAGTTTATTTCAGCAACACGCATTGATCATCTTGATCTAGTTTCCCATATATCATTGAGGAATTTGCGTATGCTATAACTGACTATTGGCTAAATTTACAAAATGACAACATGGTTTCTTAAGTCCCTTTTTATGTTTTAGTTGTTGGAGCTTGGTGATAAATGTTGTTCTTCTGTTAACAGGGCATGCTGAATGCGTGAGATTTGTGAAGAAGTTTAATATTCCTCTATT